AAAATGCTGATTTTATCATAGTAACTTTGTAGTATAACTTCAAGTCAGGAATTGTGATGCCTCCTGCTTTGCCTTTGTTGTCCAGAATTGTCTTCGCTATTTTACTTCTTTTCTGGTTCCAGATTTATTTTAAGAATGTTTTTTTCCTGTTCTGTGAGAAATTTTAGTGGTATTTTGATCAGGATTGTATTAAATCTGTATAACAATTTTGGGCGAATGGTCATTTTCACAGTGTTTGTTCTTCCTATCCATGAATTTCTTTCCATTTTCTGAGATCCTCTTCGATTTCTTTTTTCAAAGTACTATAATTTTCCTAAATAGATCTTTTACTTCCTTTATTATAATGATTCCTAAGGTTTTTTTGTTTGTTTCTTTGTTTGTTTGGATACTATTCTGAAGGATGTAGCTTCTCTTATTTCTCTCTCAGTGAGTTTGTTGTTTATGTACAAGAATGCTATTGTTAAGACAAAAAAAAAAAGAAATTTAAACGATTCGATCCCCAGTACCAATAAAAAGGAAAAAGACAAAAAAAAGAATGCTATTGTTTTTTGAGTGTTGACCTTGTATCCAGCTATATGGCTAAATTCACTTATTAACTCTAATAGTCTTTTGATGGAGTTTTTGGGGTCTCCTAGGTAAAGTATATGTTATCTGCAAATAATGATAATTTAAATTCTTCCTTTGCTATTCCTACTCCTTTTATTTCTTTCTCTTGTCTAGTTACTTTAGCTAATGTTTCCAAAACTACACTGAATATGAGTGGTGATAATGGACATCCTTGTCTTATTCCTGAATTTAGAGTGAAAGCTTTCAGTTTTTGACCATTTAGTATGATTCTGGCTGTTGGTTTGTCATAGATGGCTTTTATCAGATTGAGGTAGAGACTATATATTCTGATTTTCTGTAGGGTTCTTATAAATGAGTTTTGGATCTTACCAAAAGCTTTTCTGCATCCATTGTAATGATCACATATGCTGTATTATGTTTATTGATTTATGTATATTGAACCATCCTTGCATTCCTGGGATGAATCCTATTTGGTTATGATGTATAATCTTCTTGATGACTTGCTGCATTCTGTTTGCCAGCATTTTATTGAGGTTTTTTGCACCTATGTTCAGTAGGGAGACTGGCCTATAGTTCTCTTTTTTGGCTCAGACTTTCTCTGGTTTTGCTATTAGAGTGATACTTAAAAGAATGAGTCAGGGAGAATTGCTTCCCTTTCAATTTCACTGAAGAAGAGTTTGAGGAGTGTTAGAACTAAGTTTTCCTTAAATTTCTTGTAGAATTCCACAGTGAATCCATCTAGGCCTGGACTCTTCTTTGTTGGTAAGGTCTTAATTACATTTTCAATTTCATTCACTGAAATTGGGTTATTCAGTAGTTTTACATCTTCTTGACCCAGCTTTGGTAATTTATATGAACTTAGGAATCTGTCCATTTCTTCTGTGTTATCAAACCTATGAGAGTAAAGATTTTAAAGGTAAGTATTGATGATCTTCTGTATTTCCACAGGTCTATAGTGATTTGGCATTTTTCAATCCTTATTGCACGAACTTAAGCTTTTTCTTTCCATTTTTTATTAAAGTTGGCTAAGGCTTTATCAACTTTATTTATTCTTTCAGAGAACCAACTCTTTGATCCACTATTTCTTTTTATTGTTTTCTTAGTCTGTATTGCATTGATTTCTGTTCTGATCTTTATAATTTCCTTCATTTTTTGGGCTTTGAGCTTGACTTGCTCTTCTTTTCCTAGATGTTTGAGGTGTAACATCAGGCTATTTATTTGTGTTCATTCTGTTTTTCCTTATGTGGGAATTCACTGCAATAAATTTCCCTCTGAGGACTTCTTTCATTGTATCCCACAGGTTCCAGTATGTTGTACTTGTATTTTCATTTGCTTGTAGGTATTGTTTAATTTATTTTTTAATTTCCTCTGGGACTTACTGATTGTTCAAGAATATATTGTATATCCTCACTTTTGTAAAACAAATAGTAAAAACTGTGTGCTTTATTACTGACAGAATATGGAGACATATTTTGGAAGTATAAAAACTTGACCACATCAAAGAAGTAGAAAATGATTTAAAAATTATCATTATAGTAAGCTTTGGCCTTTTCCTCCTACCTAAATTCATGGTTCTAATGAAGTTAAAATTGCAAGAATAATTAATGAAAAAATAAATAAAACCTTCAGAATTGTTATCATCCTAGGACTTCTATTCAGATTTATTTAAAGACCACAAACTACAAATCAGAATTTTAAAAAAACTTGAAGATATATTTGAGATGTAACTCAAATGTATGTATGTATATATATATATATATATATATATATATATATATATATAGAGAGAGAGAGAGAGAGAGAGAGAGAGAGACAGACAGACAGACAGACAGACAGACAGAAAGACATATCAAAAGAAAGCCGTAAATTTCCAATTTGAGTGGGAAAATTTAAATTTCTGCCTTTAAAAATTAGACCTGACCACAGGGAGCCCCATCCTTCCATGACAGAAGTCTACACAGTTGATTAACTGTCCAGACGCCTGCCTCGCGTCCTGGCCTCACACTTCACCCAGGACATGTATCAGCTGATGTCATACATAATTTCTTCCCATGTTATTTGGCAGCTGCTGCAGGTACCTGAGGCAGAGAGCACTGCAGAATACAAAATGATTCTCAGATATTTAAATGTGCTTTTCACACTGTGTCTATGTCTCAAAAAAAAATAGTTTCTATACTATCTTTTTACATGCACAATTAGCTACATTAAATAATATCAACATACTTTTAATTTGTCATCTTCTGAATGTGGATAATGAGACTAGAAGGTCCATATTAGCCTAGTGCATATTTGAGTGGCTACTTAATAAAACAGTACAAGTTCCTCAAAGATCAGGGCAAGATTACAACTGTAATTTAGTCAGAGCTCACAGCCTCCTGGGATTTTTAGTGATATTTCCAAAGTATTCTCATGAAGTAATATTCAGTAGATGACATACATGTCAATACAATTTGCAATTTAAGTCTTCAGGCAAAATAAGAATTCTGTCTGAAAGATCTATGTGAATTCTTAGGATAGTTTCTCAGCTTTCAGTAAGAACACATGTCTTAGAAGCTTCTGAGTTATAATAACCAACTAACATACTCCCAGGGTTTTTAATTCAATTTTTTTCTAGCTTGTGTGTGCTTTTTAAACCTCAGAAATGAGAAATATGATTGTGTAGTTTCCTATAAAAACAAAACTTCATCATTCTCTGTTCATATGTATACGGTATGTAAGAAAGGACAAGAGAATATCTGTAAACTTATTTTTAAAGGAAGAAACAAGTTCAAGCAACAATTAGGGTTTAACAGTCTACTCTCTCCTGGAGAGATAGATCACAAATTAAGAAAATAATGAAAATAACTTATAATCTTGTTTCTGAATTCATACATTTGTCAGGAAATGTTTGTAAAGTGAACAAGGAGGAATATTTGTGATGCTCAATCATTATTTAAGTAGCCAGTCATTACAGAGAAATGTTTCTGAAAATGAATACAAAGGAAGCTTAGCATACTGTCTTTGATAGCAGCATTTATTAGACGTGAGGTACAAGAAAAATTGAGCATAATACGTGGAATACCCTTTAGCACACCACAAGATGACAGGAATTTTTTAGCTATTGATTCAAAGCCATCCTAACTTTTCAAGTTAATTCTGTAAATGTTATTGTTATTTCTACAAATAATATTCTTTTAAATAGCCTAGAAAAAAAAGAATGGCAGTTAATAAATATAAAATAAAACTTCTTTTGTGAATGTCATCAACTAGGATTTTATATGGATGATCACCCATGGATCTATAAATTTCTTATAATCATGACAGCCAGAAATAGGAAATGGCCTTGACCTATACACATATGTAAAATTTACAGATACACCACTTTCTTCTGCAATCCATTACCTGAAACATTTTTCAAAGCAGTAACATTTTGTTTTTTATTTGTTTTTGAGGGGAAAGTGCAAAGGAAAGAGTTCACATTATCTCTTTGTTTACTAAACGAAAGCATCTAGTTTGCTCCTGGAAATGGTCATGCTAACTGCTCCAAAAGAAGACCACCACATTCAAATGAAAGCACACTAAAAAATAAAATGCAATGTTTAGACAAAAAAGTCAGAATGACATTTCTAAAATCATTTACCATACAGCACTTAGTAAAATATAAACTATGTGGACTAACAATTTGGAGAAAAAGTATTTATTCAAGAAGATAAATTAATATATCCAACTTCTCAGTGATCTGATGTGAGACAGTAACGTCATTTACAACTTAGAGGATCTGAAGAAATGGGCAATGATCATATTCCTTATCATCCCTCTCAAAGATTCAAAGTCTTTATCGAGATCTTCAAAGAAGCTGATTAGAAAAAATAAACTGGAACTCCTGAAAAATTGTGTATCAGAACTACTCAGTATTTCTAGTCAACAGTTATTTGTGATCACTAAAGACAAGTCAGACCTACACCTTTGCTCAAATAATGATTTGAGCTGTCTTTGTATAGACATTGGCTTCAGGAAAACCTGCAAGACAAAGCTATTCATGAGAAGTACTACTTCTATTTTTATGTAAGTAAATATTAAGCTGAAGAGGATATCAGAAAATGAAAAGATATATCTTACTCTTTGATAGGAAGTACTAACATAGTGAAAATGGCCATACTCCCAAAACTGCTACACAGATTTAATACAATCTTAATCAAAATACTATTAGCATACTTTGGAAATCTAGGGAGTACATTCCTAAAACTCATTTGGAACCAGAAGAGATCTAAATAGCAAAAGCAATTCTGGAAAGCAAAGACAACTCAGGAGGTCTTTGCAATCTCATACATGAAATTATGCTACAAAGCTACTATGATAAGATCAGCATGGTATTGGGAAAAAAAACAGACTTAAGGCTCAATGGACATAATTGAGGATGCAGAAGCATTCCCAAACACACTCAGTCAACTTACCTTTGACAAATGAGCCAAATATGTTCACTGGAAGAAAGATAGTCTCTTTAATAAATGGTGCTGGAGTTCCAAGTACTGTGCATGGTAATGATGATCCTAATCTGACAGAAAAAAAGAAGATGGATTGAATACATACCTAGATGACAGAGAGATAGAGAAATGTAGATGTATGTCTACACACACACACACACACACACACACACACATATATATATATATACTTGCAGTCATAAAATATATGTTCATTTTACAAAACTTTGAATATATGTATGTTTTTGTATATGTGTATCTGTGTTCACATGTGTGTATGAAAATAAATTTATCTTATAATCCCACAATTCAGAGATAACTAGCGTTATCTTTCTGAGAAACTTCCGTTATTTAAAATGTTGCAAATGAGGCTATTATTCTTAAAAATTGTATTTTTATAATTATAAGCATCATATTATCCAATAAAATGTTTCCAAATAGTTGTCCAAATTGCATAACATGCAATCACTTATGTAATTTCAGAATGTCAACATTTGTGGATTTACTTTCCTTTTTTCAAATGATTTCACAGTGATCATCTTGGTACATAATTTGTGTTCCAAATTTGAAAACATAGCATTAAATCATATAGGTAAAATTTCTGAGTCAGATCATCTTGCAAATTATGAGGCTATTATACATTTGCAAAATTTTTCAAAGCAAAAAAAAAAAACCAAAAAACAAGCAATTTCTGTTGCCCCACCCAAAAACATTTAGTGCCTATTTTACTGAACTTCTATCCATATTGAAAATTCCTTATAAAATAGATACGTTTTCCTTCTCCCAAAACCACAAATTCCGCTTGGTTATGACTTTACAAAATATGGTCTCTATTTTTTATAGACAGGAAGATAATATAGAAACCATTTCTGTTAATTGGTTGTAAATACCTTGTAATACTTTCATTCTCTTGAATGGTTTAACACTCTCTTGTTATGTTTGATGCTATAGTATACGAAGGTATACTGAAATATTTCAAGGGAAGAGACACTATGGTAACTACTGTTATGTTGGGTTATCTTGTGGTGAAACACTATGTTGCTTAAATTGTTCTGTTCTGACCTGTGTTGTTACGTCTTTTACCTTAATCTCCTTTTTTTAAAAAAAAAATTTTTAAATATGGTCTCTATGTAATTTTACTGTTGATAGAACTTCATACACATAGACTTCAGGGGATAAACAAACTGCAAAATATATTCCTAGACAAATCCTTGACTAAAACCGTGGGGTGAACCACCTCTCTCCCCACTCATAGTCTCTCCAGGTGCTAAGAAATACAGTAACTCCACCATACAACAGTGCATGTTACATGTCTTTCTAATAATATTTGCTCAATAAGCTCAAATATTTCTTAGGCACCATCTGAAAACCAGAAATAAGACAATATTTAAAAAGACATTTTTTCGAAGTTTCTTTCATTTTTTTGAAGACTAAAAGAACAGCACAGTAATCACTAGTAGGGCTTAGGTATGGGCTGACGGAGGCACTACGAGGACATCTTGTGGGAAGGCGACAAAGTGTAGGGTTTAGTGGCTGCTCTCAGTCTTGACCTCTCAGTGCAGTCCCTTACCTCTGGTTTTCTGCACATAAATCCAATCTTCCTCTCTCTAGTTACTCAAAACCTTACAGTATCCAATACAAGCGTACCAATCTCAATGCATAGGACTCTTAGTTTCTGTAACTCCAGTATTTAAATATGTGTTTTAAAGTTGTAGTTCTAAAAAAAAAAAAAGATGCATGGTCCAGTTTTGCTTTTGTTAAGTGACGTGTCTTTATGTCTACCCAATTCAGTGGTCATTGGAAATAGGGTCACAACAGGCATCAGTCTGGCTTCCTGACTAGTATCCCTTTGAAAGAGACTAGGTGTTTATGGAAAGGAGATTTACCTTCCTGAAGTTGAGGCCAGCAAAGCAGGAGTTTTGTGTGCCTGAGTCGGATTCAAGTATAAAAAAGTAATGCAGTACAAGAACAGCTTTGCCTTAATATGCTAGGATTGAAAAATGGTTCACCGAGATCTAATCAGACATTCTTATTCTTAATCTGGTATTCTAATGTCTCTCAAAGAATATTAAAATCTGAGAACTTTGTCTATTTAGTTTGTAGCCTGTTAAAACCTTTTCTCTGACATACAAAAATTGTTAGGAGAATAAATACTACAAATCGTTTTTTAAAATTTGCAGCTAGACTCCCAAGAAGAATGTAAATATTACACAGAATAGGAAAACTTTTAGTAAATCTTCCTTGTTTTATGTTGGATATTTGACAAGACGGTGACCATTATTAAGAATAAAGCTAACTTAACATGTGGAAAAATTGATACATTATCTATAATTTTGGATAAGAAAGGAAGGACATTGTGGGAATTTATGTCTACTTTGGGATGATGAAGATTTTGACAAAATACTTTCATGAAGGTGGGAACCATCTTCCAGAGTATTATTTGAATAGTTTCTCATCAAAAGGCATTTTTGAAGGCTTTTTAGCAATATGATTTAATCACAGACTACAATCAGGTTGGTAGATCACAGGGAATTTTCTGAGGCCTATAACTCTGTCTCAAAGCTCACCAAACTTAAGAGACAAATCACCAAACCATTAAAGGCCCTATCACATTTTTCATTGAAACTGTGCTACTTTCAATTTTCCAAAATTTTAAGACATTATTTGGACCTACTTATCACAGCTCTAATTAGTTTTTTGAAAGTTTATGATTTATAGATTTTGATATTTCCATCCTGTGTAGTCACCAGTGCCAGAAATAATTGCTTAAGCCTAATTAATAAATCTTACATTCACACCAGATAATTCCGATACATGTTTTGCCTATGTTTGATATCTAAAAGCAAGTCATGAAATCAGCCTTGCAAACAAGACTCTCTAAAGTTTCATAAAACATGGTAAATGGAGTACAATGTATAATGTATTACGAATCTTATTAATTTTATTTTTTTAATTACTTGTTGGTCAGAAAATATGTGTCTAACCTAGAATAGACAGTTAAGTAAGTATTGATTCACTGTAGAATGATTACAAAGGTCTGTTTCACCATTGTTGTTTGTCAAGGTCATAGAACAGCACCAAAGACATTTTGTTCCACAAGACCAGAAGCCTCTGGAAATAAAAATCTTTCTCCAAAGACAAGACACAACAATACTCAGAAAGCAACTCTGGCACAGAGCAATCAAGACTGCAGTTCCTCCAGGATTCTGCACATGGCTAGTGGTTTTAATTCATCAGATGTGTGCAAAACACATGGAAATATCTTATTTCAACATGTTCTACTGAGGAAATGTAGAGCAATTGAAAAATCATAATTTTTTAAAATAACCTTCCATACCTGGATTGTAGTTCCTTTATTGATATTGTCTTTTCTTACTGACTCTGTCAGAAAATCCCAGTTTGAAATGTGCTGGTTTTATTTCTTCAAGAAGACTTAAGCCGTAATGTTCAACATGAATCTCTCATTTATAAGTTTGCAGCATGTTCTGCAATCAATGGGATCAAGAATTTTAAATGAAGACCTGTACCTGGCTTGTTTTTCTGATATCCACTCTATAAAAGCAGCAACAAAATCATTAACACTTTTATAACATCACGTAGAATACTTTTGCCTTAAAGATGACAGCTCGCTCTTAATGTGTTCCTGAAGAGGCAGTGAAGTTGGCTCAGCTTGGCCAGACTCTAGCATCACAAGCAGCTGCCTGATGATTTTCACAGTTATTTGAAATTGTTTAGGACACTACAATCTCATTGAGAATTTTAATAAACTTCGTAAGGCAGAGATTTAACTCCCTGGACTCTTTATTCTTGACAGGAAAAATGTTGCCTCCCATTAATAGCTGATCTTTCCTATTCTTTTTTTAATGTGTTCCCTTCCATCTTCTGTGTTGAAAACTTTTTCTGATGTTATTGAATTATATTAAAAATGTCAGACCTAAAGATTGCTCAGCTGGGGGCTGGAGTTTAGCTCAGCGGCATAAGCACCTGCCTTGCAAGCAGGCAGTCTTGAGTTCGATCCCCGGTACCGATAAAAAGGAAAAAGACAAAAAAAAAAAAAAAAAAAAAAAAAGATTGCTCAGCTAATAACAATAGAACAATGGAAAAATTCATTTGCTTCAATTGATTGTGATTCTAAGATAAAATACTTACAAAATTCACATGAGGCTATTTGCTTCCTATTTTATCAATTTCTCAGAGTGATAATACTAATGAAGTAGCTTGTCAGAATTATTCTCCAAGGTGCATGATATAACCATTCATGTCTCACACTTAGATAAACCAACCTATGACTGATACCCTAAGTCTTCTGTTTCATACTCAGACTCAGGCTTCTGCTACTCATCCACAGAATCAGGCTGGTTCCCAGGAAACAGGTGAACTGATGATCCGTCTGCTGACCCAAGGCTGAATGGATGAGAAGCTCCCTGTTTGCTACTTCTAGGTATCAGTTACAGTTCTCCTATTGCAAAACTTGGATCCAGAAAAAAGGGATAATCTGTAACATAGTCCTCCTCACATTTCCATGGAAAAACTTAGTCTCTGTTCTTAGATCATGATAGGTGACTCCTTAAAGATATGAGCTTATGCAACGATTACTCCCATTTCATTTGGATGAGAAAATTTCCTAAAGTATTGGCTCTCTCTGTATTTCTTTCTCTCTTTTTCCACCTCCCCCTCTCAAAATCTCTTCTCAATGTAATCATCTTTTCTTGTTTTAAACTTGCTTTTTACTGTCTTAAAATTCAGAAACTCAGGCCTTACCTTGCTGAAATGTAGGTATGAGCATAAGCTTAGCCTGAGTTTGGTCCATTAGTGCCCACACGACCCTCCAGTCTCCTCCCTCACCCTCTTCATGAATCTCCTGCGCTACCAGTAGGGTCACACCAGAAAACTATTTGAAATCTTTCCAATCTCATGTAAGAAGAAAGTATATAGAGAACCAGGCGTATGCATTTCCAATTGTATTTTCATCATAGTTTAATACTAAAATAATTGTTCACTGTACTTTTTGTATTTCTACGAGGCTTCTGGTAAATAAATATAGTACATGAACTGTATATTCTTCTCTTTTTCTGGACTAATCATATACATATATATTTATTCATTTATTTTTATTTACATACTTTTAAGTATAATGTGTGTTTATAAGTATTCTCAGTGGGAGGGAGGAGTGACACTCTCCCTTGGCTCCAAGTCTTTAAATTTATTTTCTTTTTCACTTGGACTCCTTGCTTTTCTTCTTTATCTGGATCAAATATTGGTAACCATTTAGATAATTATCATCTCCTCTGAAGTCTTTCCTGACCCCCTCCCAATCTGGGCAAGATAACTGTACCCTATTATTGTAGCAAGCTGTGTTTATTTCTACTAGAATGGCTTTTCTCCCTTAATAGGCCAATATTTCATTGAAGGCAAAGATTCTTTTTCACATCTTTTATTCCTTGCACTTGACATAATTAAGAAGATTCCATAAATATCTTTTGAACAACAAAACACCAATTTGAAGAGAAACAACCCTCTTGATACTTAGAGATCACTCAAACAAGCAGGTTAGAGGCCAGGTTTCTATCGTTAAGTGAACCCCAAGACCTGTGGTGAGAATTAATAGGCACAGATCTAAAACACTAGCCTGAAGTAATGTTGAATTATTAGAACCAAAATAGCATTAAATGCAGCCTGAAGATTAGCTCAAAAATATCCATAAAGATCATTTTGCTATGTCTCATGCTTAAAAATGATGCTATAAAGAATTAAAGCCACATTACACAATATATATGTCTTTGAATATTCTAAATCTTTCCAGGGCCAGATGTGAGAAGAAAGTTTATAGAGCACCAATCATATGCATTTCCAACCATAATTTCATCATAATTTAATATTAAAATAATTATGTTCACTGTATTTTTTTTATATTTCTATGAGGCTTCTGGCAAAGAAATGAACTATATATTCTTCTCTGTTTCTGAACATTTCATATATATATACATATACATATACATATATACATATATAGAGACAGAAAGAGAGAGAGGGAGAGACCTGTAAATACACTATATACACTTAGCTCTAGTGCCATCAGGACAAGATTTTTGCATTTGCCTAGAGTATGGTACTTTTCGGTTAATTTTACTTATCAAGAAATCTATGGAGGATTTGGCTGTCAACTTTCTTTTGAACAGCATCAGAAGCAGCCAAACTCAAATCTCATTTTACAAGAAACTAAATCACTATTTCTCTAGGTAAGAATTCTGTTGTATGTAAGAGTATGTAAACAAGATGCAAATCCTAATTATCAAGACATTTTTGTGTGATTTCAACATTCTTTTTGAAATATACTCTCTGAAAAGTGACTGCTTATGTTTAAAACAGTTTAGAGAGTAGAAGAACATTTTTTCTAGCCATCTCTTTTGTGTGGAGTAGTAAAGGAACCTAAACTGAATGTAAAAGGATCCATGTTCTGTTTCACATGTGGAGGCGAAACTGTGAAAAAGAATAAGTGCTCAAGTTTGGGACCTGGGTGTTGAGAGGACAGAGGGAGTCTGGATTTAACATACACGTGTTCAATATACTGAACATTATTACTGTGCACAGTACATACATGTTAATCAAAAATAACATAAAATAAAAGATAGTCTTTTGCTAAGCAAAATTACTGCACCCATAAAATTTTAAGGTATTAATTTTTCAAGTAAAAATCATGCAGCAATTACTGCTCAGTGATTCATTTAGAATTAGTACTTTTATAGAAGAAAGAGTCTTTTGAACTTAGAAAACATTTTTCAAATTGGCAGGTGACAGCTTTACAAATAGTAGCATATCACTTTACAAATAGCAACATATATTTTCTGATAAAACATCTTCTATTCAAAGAAGTAAAAGAAGTAATTTCATGTCTCTTTTGCCAAACTTTTCAGGCTATAATTGTTAATATATAATATAAACCTGTGATGCAGTATGTTATGATTATATATGATTCCTTTTTTCCAATTCTTACTTTATCACAAAATTCTTTCATTAGGCAAGCACACTAAATGAGGAAAAATGTAAGCCTTGGTGAAATCTCTGAAGTTCAATTCATAAGAAATTTGAATTTTTTAAATATAAAAGAAAATCAAATGTAGAAAATTTAATAATGATACATTAGGAAGTAGTATGAAATTATAAAAATGTTCTTGGTACTACACTTTTGTAATGTCATGTATTATACATTTTTAAGTCCAGTCAGTTTCTTTTCAAAGGTATAAGTTCTAGTAGCTCTGTATTGAAAAATGTCTTTATAAAATTTAGATGTGCATAAGTTAGAGAGAGCCTGGGCTTCATGATTTGTAGGAAGGGATAAATCACAGTAAGAAAAAGAGAGGAAACCAGACATCTCAAGGTGTACATTTTATATAAAAATCCCTGATTTAACATAGCATTCAGTAGGTTGTTTATGGCAGAGCCTTAACATTTCTAATTTGTAGTTTTGCCATCCCTGTTTTTACCATGTTTTATAAAAAATTAATAAGGATTAATATAGTAATATCATTAGGGTTTTAAGGAATTTTTCTTGTGATGATTTGCTATTAAATAATGAAGAATCATTTACAAATGCTCACATCTGTTTCTAAAGATAGATAACATCTAAAGAACATTCCCCTTAACTATAGATTTTTTCAAAGTAATATACTCGCATTATTCCAATTCAAGACATCGCACATATACACAGATATTCTTTAATTCAGTCTGCTGATACTACTGTGAAGCTGTTAATCTTCACTTAACCTGTTCATGCAATGACTAAAGTGTAAATTCAATTCAATTAATATTTATTGAGAACTCATAGGGTGTACAGCACTGCACAAAGGATTGTAAAGTCAGTCAACGAATCAGGCACACATTTTTTGACAAGCATTGTATCTTCCATCTCTGGGGAATATTTACTCCCAGCTTAGAACAACATGAGCAATACAAATTAGAGTCCTGTTAGAAGAGATGCCAGTACTTGAACTCATCCAGAATGACCTAACATCATTTACACAGAAAAGAAGAGAACAGATGTCATTCCTAGGGCTCTGACCTTGCCCTATAGGGCCCAGGAGGTGGGCATCATACTGAGTACAGAAAGAATGACAGACCACCATCTGAAATACTCCATAGGCTTCCATTTTTCTCTAGCCATCAGTTATGTAGGATGCAAACAATTCCTTTGAGTCTTGACGGACTCTTTATATTCAAAGATACTTATTAAAATATAAATACCCAGGAAAATAGGGAAGAGCAGGAAATAAGGAACAGCAGTAGTGATTTAGCTTTTTTAGCTCCCCTTCTAGAAAGCAAGTAAGGAACTGGGACATCAGACCCTTACATCTGTGAAGGACAGCTTCAATGGATATCAGTGTCAGATTTTCCACATGAACCCCCACATCCAAGCAGGAGGGGAAAAGCATTGGCATCAAGCTCTGTGTGATTTATCCACTATTCAGAAACAGCAGAGTACAGCAAC